AAGGAATACTCACTAGATGAGTTGAACTTAAGATAATCCGTTTTAAAATTGCGTATCCTCTCCTTTCCTTTTTTAAATCCTCCGATGCACTGAGATTACAAGGATCTGCATGGCAGGTGGTATGATGGGAATTGATGTTTTTATACCAATTATCATTATTGGAGCAGTCTGGGTGAGGACATGGAAGCATTACTGAAATATCACCATCTAAATCAAAATAAAAAACAAAGATGATGATGATGATGATATATATATATATATATATATATATATATATATATATATATATATATATATATATATAGGTCGGTCACCAGCCATTAGTCAAGCAAAATGGTGATGGCCATCCACTGATTACTCTGATATGGCCATCCACTGATTACTCCGCATTAATTTGAGTATTTCTTCCATTATTGTCCCAAATCTTTTTAACAAAACTGCAATCTATAATACATGCCAAAAAAGATTCATTCTGCCTGTTGGACAATCACAGAATCTGGCTTCATCACAATCCACGCAATAACAATGTTATCCTCATGTGTTAAGAGAAATAGTTCTATATATATAAGTAAGTTGTCGTTGACTTTTGGTAGTTGTGACGGTTTTGGTTTATATTACTTTGACAACTGGCAACGTCCCTATTGAGAATAATTATGTGTCGGATAATGTCCGACAAAAACATGGGTTGGTCTGACACAATGTCAGACCAAGTTTTCGGAATTATATTGAACTCTGGTTAACATACCTGAGATTTGAGGAAGTAGACAGTTCTTTTCCACCAAGGGAACAAAGTGGTTTGGCTTAAACTTAACCAAATCCAGCATGGAAACTTTACCACATTTTGCCCAAAATACAGATACATGTGGCTGCTTTTCCTTACATACGCGAGGCATTAGTATGCCGTGAAAAAAAGCCCGAATCTGAACACAAAAAGAACATTTATTTATAAACCATTACAGTCAAACCAGATGTTTTGTTGCGAGCAACATTGCAATATTGTCCCACAAAATTGCAATTTTGATAGACAGATTGCCCTGAGCAATCGCAAGTTGCAAGTTGAAATTCACAAATGATTTGTAAACAAAGTATATGATTGGACTATAAGAAAAAGGGAAGCTCCAATCCAGTTGCTCAGACTATTTGATTGGATTCCTTTTTGCTAATAGTACAATCAGAGGCTTTATTTACAACTCGTTCGTGAATTTCAACTTGCAATTTGTTTGCATTGTTGGCAAAATTGCAATATTGTGGGACAATATTGTGCACAATGTTACTCACAATAGAACATACTGGTTTGACTGTAACTTAAACAATTGTATAAACATTGTTATTTATTGCATATTGCATTTGTTTCCATACAGGGGTATTGAGGACATACATTTTAGGAGACTTCCTATAAATTTTGTAAAACTTAAATAGCCATGGAAATATTCTATTTTCCAAGGCCCCGTGGAAATATTTTAGGCAGCCCATGGATTTTCATAATTTTCACACTACACCCCTGTGTTAAATTGGATAGTTTGACCGCCTCCATGGCCTCATCGGATTTCCAATAGCAACTTTTCTATACATTGTAACTGGAATTTCCAGTATCTTCAGTCCCTTAGGTTTTGTGTTTAATTAAAATGCTACTTAGTATTTTCCAATTAAAATTGCTTTTAAAAGTCTATACTAACTTTGGTGTTGTTTCAGGATAAACACTCATAATTTTTTTCCTGATGATGGAACCAAGTGCTAACAATTGCAAGACACCACTGTCGGACGAAGGTTTGCAACTTGAAATGATCTCCTCTTGATAAATAGCTTCCAACAAAGAACGATCATTCGCAATGTCTTCAAAAAGGCTGCCAGTATCTTTTAAGTGTTTCTTCTGTGCAGACATTTTACGAAATATGCCTTCATCAGACATATAAAATTCGATAAATAAAGCCAGTTCAACAACACAACGTACCCTCAATTCGGTGTGCATATCTTCAATTCCAGAAACAAGAATGGAAAAGGAGCGGAAGCACGAACTATCGGCCGATGTTTCTAACGCGACACAATCTGATGAAGAGGGCAAATATTGTTGCGAATTAAAATCCACAGTGAATTTGGAATAGTTTGGCACTTTCCATTTAAAAACACCAATTGTCTCCATAACTTCTGCGCAAAAATTTTTAAATTCTGCCCAACTTTTTGTCGAAACTTTTTCCAAGTCCTCAAGAATGCACTTATACATATCCGCCATATTGAAAATACTGAAATCTGCTAGGCGTTCTGAAGCCCCTTGAGCTGTGACGTCACACTTAGGTCCAAGTCTCATACCAAATACGCGCATCCGCGTTTGCTTCAGAACGACTGGGACTAGGCTGTGAGGAACATTGTAATCAGATGAGGAACCTTGTCCTCATACTGAGGAACCTTGTTCTCAGTGTGAGGAACCTTGTCCTCAGTGTGAAGCACCTTGTCGCCAGAATCAGGAACCTCGTTCTCAGAGTGAGGAACCTTGTTCTCAGAGTGAGGAACCTTGTTCTCAGTGTAAGGAACCTTGTCTTCAGATTGAGGAACCCTTGTTCTCAGAGTGAGGAACCTTGTTCTCAGAGTGAGGAGCCTAGTTTTCAGAGTGAGGAACCTTGTTCTCAGTTTGAGGAACCTTGTCATCAGACGAGGAACCTTGTCCTCATACTGAGGAACCTTGTTCTCAGAGTGAGGAACCTTCTCCTCAGTGTGAAGCACCTTGTCGTCAGAGTGAGGAACCTTGTTCTCAGAGTGATGAAACTTGTCCTCAGAGTGAGGAACCTGCTTTAAGAGTGAGGAACCTTGTCCTCAGAGTGAGGAACCTTGTCCTCAGAGTGAGAAACCTTGTCGTCCGAGTGAGGAACCTTTTGCTCAGTGTGAGGAACCTTGTCCTGAGAGAGAGGAACCTTGTTCTCATAGTGAGGAACCTTGTCCTAAGAGTGAGGAACCTTGTCCTCATAGTGAAGAACCTTGTCCTCAGAGTGACGAACCTTGTCCTCAGAGTGAGGAACATTGTCCATTGAGTGAGGATCCTTGTCCTGAGAGTGAGGAACCTTGTCATCAGAGTGAGGAACATTCTCCTCAGAGTGAGGAACCTTGTCTTCAGAGCGAGGAACCTTGTTATCAGAGTGAGGAACCTTGTCCTTAGAGTGAGGAATTTTGTCCTCAGACTGAGGAACGTTGTCCTCAGTGTGAGGAACCTTGTCCTCGGTGTGAGGAACCTGCCTTCCGAGTGGTTAACCTTGTCCTCAGTGTGACGAACATTGTTCTCAGACGGAGGAACCTTGTCCTCAGTGTGAGGAACCTTGTCCTCAGTGTGTAGAACCTTGTCCTCAGAGTGAGGAACTTTGTCCTCAGAGTAAGGAACCTTGTTATTAGAGTGAGAAACCTTGTCTTTAGAGTGAGGAATCTTGTCCTCAGAGTGAGGAACGGTGTCCTCAGAGTGAGGAACCTTGTCATCGGTGTGAGGAACCTTCCTTCAGAGTGAGGAACCTTGTCCTCAGTGTGAGGAACTTTGTTCTCAGAGGGACGAACGTTGTCCTCAGTGTGAAGAACATTGTCCTCAGTGCGAAGAATCTTGTCCTCAGAGTGAGGAACCTTGTCCTCAGAGTGAGCAACCTAGTCCTCAGAGTGAGAAACCTTGTCCTCAGAGTGAGGAACCTTGTCCTCATAGTCAGGAACCTTGTCCTCAGATTCAGGAACCTTGTCCTATGAGTGAGGAACCTTGTTCTCAGAGTGAGCAACCTTCTCCTCAGAGTGAGGAACCTTGTCCTCAGTGTGAGGAACCTTGTCCTCAGAGTGAGGAACCCTGTCCTCAGAGTGAGGAACCTTGTCCTCAGTGTAAGGAACCTTGCCCTCAGTGTGAAGAACCTTGTCCTCAGAGTGAGCAACCCTGTCCTCAGAGTGAGGAACCTTGTTCTCAGGGTGAGGAACCTTGTCTTCAGTGTTATGAACCTTGCCCTCAGAGTGAGGAACCTTGTCCTCAAAGTGAGGAACCTTGTCCTCAGTGTGAAGAACCTTGTTCTCAGAGTGAGGAACGTTGTCCTCAATGTGAGGTACCTTGTCCTGAGTGTGCAGAACCTTGTCCTCGGAGTGAGGAACATTGTCCTCAGAGTGAGGAACTTTGTCCTCAGACTGAGGAACCTTGTCCTCATAGTGAGCAACCTTGCCTTCAGAGCAAGGAACCTTGTCCTCAGTGAGAGGAACCTTGTCCTGAGAGTGAGGAACCTTGTCCTCATCGTGAGGAACCTTGTCCTCATCGTGAGGAACCTTGTCCTCAGATTGAGGAACCTTGTCCTCAGTGTGAGGAACCTTGTTCTAAGAGTGAGCAACCTTGTCCTCAGAGTGAGGAACCTTGTCCTCAGTGTGAGGAACCTTGTCTTCAGATTGAGGAACCTTGTCCTCAGTGTGAGGAACCTTGTTCTCAGAGTGAGCAACCTTGTCCTCCGAGTGAGGAACCTTGTCCTCATCGTGAGGAACCTTGTCCTCAGATTGAGCAACCTTGTCCTCAGAGTGAGGAACCTTGTCCTCAGTGTGAGGAACCTTGTTCTCAGAGTGAGCAACCTTGTCCTCAGAGTGAGGAACCTTGTCCTCAGTGTGAGGAACCTTGTCTTCAGAGTGAGGAACCTTGTTCTCAGAGTGAGGAACCTTGTCCTCAGAGTGAGGAACGTGACTTCAGAGTGAGGAACTTTGTCCTCAGTGTGAGGAACCCTGTCCTCAGAGTGAGGAACCTTGTGGTCAGAGTGAGGAACCTTGTCCTCAGTGTGAGGAACCTCGTTTTCAGAGAGAGGTACATTGTCTTCAGAGTGAGGAACTTTGTCATCAGTGGGAGGAACATGCCTTCAGGGTGAGAAACCTTGTCCTCAGAGTAAAGAACCTGGTCCTCAGAGTGAGGAACCTTGCGCTCAGAGGAAGGAACCTTGTCCTCAGTGTGAGGAACCCGCATTCTGATTGAGGAACCTTGTCATCAGAGTGAGAACCTTGTCCTCAGTGTGAGGAACCTAGTCTTCAGATTGAGGAACCTTGTCCTCTGTGTGAGGAACCTTGTTCTCAGAGTGAGCAACCTTGTCCTCCGAGTGAGGAACCTTGTCCTCATCGTGAGGAACCTTGTCCTCAGATTGAGGAACCTTGTCCTCTGTGTGAGGAACCTTGTTCTCAGAGTGAGCAACCTTGTCCTCAGAGTGAGGAACCTTGTCCTCAGTGTGAGGAACCTTGTCTTCAGATTGAGGAACCTTGTCCTCAGTGTGAGGAACCTTGTTCTCAGAGTGAGCAACCTTGTCCTCCGAGTGAGGAACCTTGTCCTCATCGTGAGGAACCTTGTCCTCAGATTGAGCAACCTTGTCCTCAGAGTGAGGAACCTTGTCCTCAGTGTGAGGAACCTTGTTCTCAGAGTGAGCAACGTTGTCCTCAGAGTGAGGAACCTTGTCCTCAGTGTGAGGAACCTTGTCTTCAGAGTGAGGAACCTTGTTCTCAGAGTGAGGAACCTTGTCCTCAGAGTGAGGAACGTGACTTCAGAGTGAGGAACTTTGTCCTCAGTGTGAGGAACCCTGTCCTCAGAGTGAGGAACCTTGTGGTCAGAGTGAGGAACCTTGTCCTCAGTGTGAGGAACCTCGTCTTCAGAGAGAGGTACATTGTCTTCAGAGTGAGGAACTTTGTCCTCAGTGGGAGGAACATGCCTTTAGGGTGAGGAACCTTGTCCTCAGAGTCAGGAACCTGGTCCTCAGAGTGAGGAACCTTGCCCTCAGAGGAAGGAACCTTGTCCTCAGTGTGAGGAACCCGCATTCTGATTGAGAAACCTTGTCATCAGAGTGAGAACCTTGTCCTCAGTGTGAAGAACCTAGTCCTCAGGGTGAGGTACCTTGTCCTCGGAGTGAGGAACTTTGTCCTCAGCGGTGGAACATGCCTTCAGTGTGAGGAACCTTGTACTCAGGGTGAAAAACCTTGTCCTCCGAGTGAGGAACCTTTTACTCAGTGTGTGGAACCTTGTCCTCAGAGTGAGGAACCTTGTTGTCAGAGTGAGGAACCTTTTCTCATAGTGAAAACCTTGTCCTCAGAGTGACGATCCTTGTCTTCAGAGTGATAAACCTTGTCTTCAGAGTGAGGAACCTGACTTCAGAGTGAGAAACCTTGTCGTCAGATTGAGGAACCTTGTACTCAGAGTGAGGAACCTTGACTTATAGTGAAAACCTTGTCTTCCAAGTGACGACCCTTTTCCTCAGATTGAGAAACATTGTCCTCAGAGTGAGGAACCTTGTTTTTATAGTGAGGAGCCTTGTCCTTAGTGTGAGGAACCTTGTCGTCAGAGTGAGGAATCTTGTCCTCAGAGTGAGGAACCTTGTAGTCAGAGTGAGGAACCTTTTCCTCAGTGTGAGGAACCTTGACCACAGAGTGAGGAATTTTGTTCTCAGGGTGAGGAACCTTGTCTTCAGCGTGAGAAACCTTGTCGTCATAGTTAAAACCTTGTCCTCAGAGTGACGAACCTTGTCCTAAGAGTGATGAATCTTGTCCTCAGAGTGACGAACCTGACTTCAGAGTGAGGAACTTTGTACTCAGAGTGAGGAACCTTGTCTTCAGAGTGAGAAACCTTGACTTATAGTGAAAACCTTGTCTTCAGAGTGACGACCCTTGTCCTCAGATTGAGGAACCTTGTCCTCAGAGTGAGGAACCTTGTTTTTAGATTGAGCAATCTTGTCCTTAGTGTGAGGAACCTTGTCGTCAGAGTGAGAAATCTTGTCCTCAGAATGAAGAACCTTGTCGTCAGAGTGAGGAATCTTTTCCTCAGTGTGAGGAACCTTGTCCACAGAGTGAGGAACTTTGTTCACAGAGTGAGGAACCTTGTCTTCAGCGTGAGAAACCTTGTCCTCATAGTGAAAACCTTGTCCTCAGAGTGACGAACCTTGTCCTCAGAGTGATGAACCTTGTCCTCAGAGTGAGGAACCTGACTTCAGAGAGAGGAACTTTGTCCTCAGTTGAGGAACCTTGTCCTCAGAGTGAGGAACCTTGTCCTCTGTGTGAGGAACCTTGTCCTCAGTGTGAGGAACCTCGTCCTCAGAGAGAAGTACCTTGTCCTCAGAGTGGGGAACTTTGTCCTCAGTGGGAGGAACATGCCTTCAAGGTGACGAACCTTGTCCTCAGAGTGAGGAACCTTGTCCTCAGAGTGAGGAACTTTGTCCTCAGCGGAAGGAACATGCCTTCAGTGTGAGGAACCTTGTCCTCAGGGTGAGAAACCTTGTCCTCCGAGTGAGGAACCTTTTCCTCAGTGTGTGGAACCTTGTCCTCAGAGTGAGGAACCTTGTTGTCAGAGTGAGGAACCTTTTCCTCATAGTGAAAACCTTGTCCTCAGAGTGACGATCCTTGTCCTCAAAGTGATAAACCTTGTTCTCAGAGTGAGGAACCTTGTTTTCAGAGTGAGGAACCTTGTTCTCAGAGTGATGAACCTTGTCCTCAGAGTGAGGAATCTGTCTTCAGAGTGAGGGACCTTTGTACCGAATCGTCTCGAAACACTCGCTATATATTTGTTTACCACACTCAACTCATTGTTTTATGTTTACTTTAATACAAAAACCAAAACTCTCCTTAATACAAAGACGAGCCACTGTTTTTTTCTCCCAAAACCCATGTCCCATCACTTCCGTTTTCCTGGAAAAACGAAGCCTACTAAATTCCTAGTATTAGTTCTATCAATTTACTTCCGGTTGCGTAATATTAATGTTTATTGTTCGACAAGTCCGTTCACCCTCCCCTAAAAATCAACGCAGTTCATTTTTATAAACCAACAACAATATAAGTATTATCTATATATTTAGTTTCACTTCTCAAATAGCATCGTCCTTTGCTAACTGCTGTATCTTGGCCTGCGCATCGACAGCAGCCTTTCTTCTCTCTGGAACGGGCTTGATCGGTTCTTCCTTCTTCTTCTCCACCGTCTCTGCAGTCACGCTCTTAATCTCCAAAGGGCAAATCGCTTGGAGAGGCCGTTCAAGTCTATTACCCTTATGCAACAATACGACTCCTCTCGCTACTCCATCTACTCCCTTCACGATTCGCGTCACCTTGCCTTTCATCCATTACCCACGGTTTCTCTCTTCCCCTACGATCAGAACAATCTCCCCAACTTCCGGCGATTGTGATTTCGCTCGGTTAATACGATGACTTTCCATCAATCCGTGTATGTACTCCTTTCGTAATCGAGTCCACGCGTGTTCTCTAGCCTTTACTAGCCTTCGATTGAACTTCGTAAGTTCCTCGTCTTCCACTTCGATATCTTGCAAGATGTGGGACTGCTGTCCCCACACAATCGAATTTGGAGTTAACACCTCTTCATCACCTCCATCGCTCTCTACGTACGTTAAAGGTCTATTGTTCAAATGCCTTTCAATATCCATAACAACAGCTTCGAGTTGTACAAAGGAAAGGTGCGTCTTCCCCAACGTCTTGTACAACGTCTTCTTTATCTCTCTGATTAATCTCTCGTACATACCACCCCACCATGGTGACTTAGCTAGGTTAAACTTCCAACGAATCTCCTGGGTTGCTAAGTGATTCTGTAGTACCTCGTCCTTCCGAATCTTTCGGATCCAATTCGCGGTTGCCTTGAACACGGCTGCGTTATCCGACACTATCAGTTGTGGTCTGGTCTTTCGTGTAATGAACGAATTCAACTTCCTCTGGAACTCTTCGGCGGACTGAGATTTTGACGCTAACAGCCCCTTTGACTTTCTAGAGTCTTGATCAACCACTGCACTGCCATCGCCACAGTAGAGCATGCCAATGCACTCGCATCAGTAAACAAGTGAAGTTCGATAGCTTTCGTTTCACCGGCTGGCATCAAACTCCTTGGGACTTCAATGTCTCGCAATTGTTTTGTCCAATTATTCCACTGCCTTGTGAGTGCAGGGGAAACTTCTGTATTCCAACTTTTCTGTTCCTCGCATGAATCACGATAAATCCGCTTGCCCTCAATCATTGTCGGTGAAATAATTCCTAATGGGTCATAGGCTCTTCCCAATCTACTAAGAATTGCTCTCTTGGTAATCTTCCCGTCATCATTATCTTGTAAGTTTCCTCTCCACTCGCTTCAAACGTAATCTACTCTGCGTTTCATTTGTCTCACTCAACTGTGTCCCTGGAATCCAAGGAACTTTTACCTCGTATCTCCCGTTTATATCATGAACAATGTTCTCCTTAAACTCTCTGTGCACATCAAGTTGATCGTTCTCACCCCGATCTTCCACTCCTAGAACATCTAAGCTATAAAGTTGTTGGCTATCCTGTTCCTCTTGTGAAAACCAACACCCATCACTTGGAAACTCCCCACCATGGATTGTCCACCCGAATGTAGTACCCTCAACAATGGGATCACCCGAATCCCCCTTGAAAACTTCTTCTGTCTTAATTCTACAGTACGTACTGTCCCCCAAAATAACATGTATTTGGTACTCATCACTCTGCTTCATGTAGAAACTCTTATCAGCCGCATGTCCGTATTTTGACTTTAAATTACTCAATTTTGGACGTCGAACTGTTGTAAAATCAGACATCTTACTGCCAGTTAACTCTACACTCTCCCTCGTTTTACCATCAAGCGATGTCATGGTTACTTCGAAAATAGGCAAGGACTGTTTTGTAGTCCCACTCAATGTGACTATCTGGCGTGTTTCATGACGGACTGGGGTCAACTTCAACTTTCTGGCAGCATCACTAGATATGAAATTTCTGCTAGATCCTGAATCTAAGTAAGCCCACAGGGTTGTGTCTTTTATATTAACGGGGATCATTGGTGGAGGTGTTTGTCCTTCGACTGGTGACGTATATCCGGTAAATACAGAGTTACCAGTATTATTCTCCTGGTCACAGAGACTAGAGTGATGCCTAGCCCTACATTTCACACAACCTCGACTGCGGCACTTGTTTGCTCTGTGTCCAGCTCGGCCACAGTTAAAACACAACTGGTTTTCTACGAAATACTTTTTTCTTGCTTCCAATGATACAACTGTCTTACAATCACTTCCCCAATGATCTTTCGTACAGAAAATACATACAGGAGTTACTGGCTTACCGGTATGTACTTCGTTACCACTTCCCTTTGATGTAAACCAAGACCCTTCCTTTCGAGTTTCTCCTGGATCCAACTTGTGTCGACTCAGCCACTTCCGGATTTCATCAATAAGAGCTGCCATGTCCCAATTCTCCCAGTTGTCATCAGTTCTTACGAGATCAGGCTTCACTTGCGGTAATTTATTCACTGTCGTCATGACAAACCCTTTCAGCATATCAGCTTCGCCCAGTGTTAACAACGCATCATAGTTCCTACTTAATGCTTCGTAAAATTCTCGAACTTTCATCTAATTGTGTCCCTTGACAACAGGCAGATTAATTATCTCATCTACAAGAGCATTTACCACTAATTTAGTCTGTCCGTATTCCTTTTTTAACCTGTCCCATGCTGTTTTATATCCAACCTCTCCTGGTTTTAAATTTGCAATTTTATCTCTAACCTTTTGACATACCATCTCCAACAAATATCCGAATTTCTCCTCGTCTGTAATCGGTTTTCCGTGTACTTGTGTCAAAAATATATTTTCAAAACGTACCCAGTCCGTAGCTGTCCCTTTAAATGGTGTAATTTTCAATTTGGGCAATTTCGCTGTCGTCCCCCGAGCCGATTTCTCTATTTCCATCTTTTCTTGCGTCATATGTAACTCTGCTTCGAGTTTCGCCTCCCATAATTTACGTTCGTGCTCCTCTTGTCTCTCACGAAGTTCCGCCATTCGCCTCTCGTGTTGTTGTTGTCGTTTTTCCTCTAATTCCGTTTGCCGTTGCTCAGATTCGCGCTCTAAATCATCTTGTCTACGTTTGACTTCCCGTGTTAATTTCTCTTTGTCCTCGACCAACGATAAATACTTAGTTCTCACGTCTTTCTTCCACTGTCTCACTGCCCGAGGCGTCGTACCATTGTCAAGTTTTAATTCCTCTGTTTGCGCTATTATGTCCGTCAATTTGTTGATTATTTTCCCAGCTCGTTTGTCCAAAATATCCATCTCTGCATAGACCCTGTTTTCGATTAATTCGTCTGCTTCCTCCAAGAAATATTTTAGCTTCGAAATCTCTTTGTTTATCTCGTCTTCGAACTTCTTTTCGTCTTCGTTTACATGAGTTTCTTCGCCACTGTCGACGCCCATGTTGTCGTTTTTTAAATCTCACAAATATCTCACAATATAAGTCGTATTTTGTCGATGTTTTTCCTCGCGATTCTCACAATAAACTCTCAAATTATCCTGGTCACGGCACCACAAATGTACCGAATCGTCTCGATACACTCGCTATATATTTGTTTACCACACTCAACTCATTGTTTTATGTTTACTATAATACAAAAACCAAAACTCTCCAAAATACAACGACGAACCACTGTTTTTTTCTCCCAAAACCCATGTCCCATCACTTCCGTTTTCCTGGAAAAACGAAGCCTACTAAATTTCTAGTATTAGTTCTATCAATTTACTTCCGGTTGCGTAATATTAATGCTTATTGTTCGACAAGTCCGTTCACCTTGTCCTCAGACTGAGGAACCTTGTCCTCAGACTGAGGAACCTTGTCCTCAGAGTGAGGACATTCTTCTCAGAGTGCGGAACCTTGTCCTCAGTGTGAACAGCCTTCTCCTCAGAGTGAGGAGCCTTGTCCTCAGTGTGAGGAACCTCGTCCTCAGAGAAAGGTACCTTGTCCTCAGAGTGAGGAACCTTGTCCTCAGAGTCAGGAAACTTGTCCTCAGAGTGAGGAACCTTGTCCTCAGGGTGAGGAGCCTTGTCCTCAGTGTGAAGAACCTTTTCCTCAGAGTGAGGAACCTTGTCCTCAGGGAGAGGAACCTTGTCCTCAGAGTGAGGAGCCTTGTCCTCAGAGTGAGGAGCCTTGTCCTCAGTGTGAGAAACCTTTTCCTCAGAGTGAGGAACCTCGTCCTCACGGTGAGGAACCTTGTCCTCAGAGTCAGCAACTTTCTTCTCAGGGTGCGGAACTTTGTCCTCAGTGTGAAGAAACTTGTCCTCAAAGTGAGGCACCTTGTCCTCAGAATGAGGAATCTGACTTCCGAGTGAGGAACCTTGTCCTCAGTGTGAGAAACCTTGTCCTCAGAGTGAGGAATCTTGTTGTCAGAGTGCGGACCCTTGTCCTCAGTGTGAAGAACCTTGTCCTCAGAGTGAGGAACCTTGTCTTCAGAGTGAGGAACCTGACTTCAGAGCGAGGAACATTGTCCTCAGAGTGAGGAACCTTGTCCTCAGAGTGAGGAACCTTGTTTTCAGGTTGAGGAACCTTGTCTTTAGTGTTATGAACCTTGTCTTCAGAGTGAGGAACCTTGTACTCAGAGTGAGGAACGTTGTTATCAGAGTGAGGAACCTTGTCCTTAGAGTGAGGAATCTTGTCCTCAGAGTGAGGAACGTTGTCCTCAGTGTGAGGAACCTTGTCCTCGGTGTGAGGAACCTGCCTTCCGAGCGATTAACCTTGTCCTCAGTGTGACGAACATTGTTCTCAGACGGAGCAACCTTGTCCTCAGTGTGAGGAACCTTGTCCTCAGTGTGTAGAACCTTGTCCTCAGAGTGAGGAACCTCGTCCTCAAAGTGAGGAACATTGTCCTCAGAATGAGGAACCTTGTCCTCAGTGTGAGGAATCTTGTTCTCA